AACACCCTAAACACCCTAGACACCCTAAACCCTAAGCCCCGAAAACCCCAAACACCCTAGACACCCTAAACCCTAAGCCCCGAAAACCCCTAGACACCCTGAGCCCTAAACCCAAACCCCTATAGACCCAAACCTGGGATCCCAAAGCTCCAGGCCCTATCCCCCTAACCCGAAACCCTAAAAGCCTTGTGAAGCATTCTGGAACCATAGGCCCCATAGTAGTTCCTTTTTTGGGATTACCTTATAGGATTCTAACTAACTATGAACCCCCAAAAAAAGGAACTACTATGGGGCCTATGGGTAATCCTTATATCGCTCCATGGCGCTGTCTTTCATCAGAAAACACGCTTCTAAAGCCTCCATAAAGCCCATACGCACACACACACACACACACACGCACGCACACACACACACACACACACTAAAACAGCCTTGACAAAGTCGTACATTCCAAAACGAACACTCTAAACCTAAAGCCCTATAAACCCTAAACCCTGAACCCCAAAACCCTACATCCCTGAATCCTATACCCTAAACCCTAAACCCGTAACCCTAAACCCTATATCCCTGAATCAAACCCGGCTCACAGGTTACTTCCGGCCGATGACTGCAGTGACAGCGATGACGACCTCGGAGGCAAAGTGTCGCGCTCTTTTTGTCGGTTTTAGGGTTTAGGGCTTTTAAGGTTTAGGGGTTAGAGTTTAGGGGGTCAGGGGTTTAGGGTTTAGGGGTTTAGGGTTTCTTAGGGGTGTTTTGAGTTTTAGGATTTAGATTTAGGGCTTTCCGGGCTTGGGTTTTGGGTTTTAAGGGCTTCGGGTTGAGGGTTTAGTCATTCCGGCCTGGGTTGGGTTTAAGATGTAGGAGTCTCTGAATTAGGGCTATGGTTCAAGACATGTTTTGTTTTGGGTTGCAGGTTCAGGCTGGCATAGGTTATATTTAGGACTTCTGTTCGCAGGGTCTGGGGTCTGTTCACTGCGAAATGAAGGATTGTGGTGCATGCTCATTGCCTCGTCGTATATTCGGGCTTAGGGCTTAGCGTAACTGAGACCGCCGAGCGAGGTGTGTGTGTGTGTGTGTGTGCATGTGAGTAGTTGGCAAAATTATGGTCCCTTTTGGGGTACCCTAAATAATAGGTGCCGTATTATAATAAGGACCCAAAAAGGGACCATAATTTTGACAACCACCCATGTGTTTGTTTTTGTGCGTACGTTTGCATTCTTGAGATCGGATCTGGGGCTTATAGACCTCTACCTATAGGCTCCATCGTGGTTCCTTTTTGTGGTTTATATCTAGGATCCCATAGGGCAATCCCGAAAAGGAACTACAACGGCGCCTATGGACAGACACAAGTTTCAAATTGTTGATTTCTTGTTGTTGTAGATTATTGCGCAGATTGGTTTCGTGGTTTGGCATTGAAGTATACCTACAGTCTCCATTGTAGTGCCTTTTTCTGGTTTAACCAGTTTATATTCAGGATCCTAAACGGTAACCCCAAAAAGGAACTACAATG